AACAACTGCTGCCCTTAAACAGTACTATCTTTTCTAATAAAATCTTTATATAATAAGTATATATACTGTTCACGCAGATTCTCCCTCAAATATGCACTCTCGGTCAACACCAAAACATTTACCTATTTCCAATTTTTTGCTATACAAAGACAAACACTTTGTGAAAATGAAGAAGAAAACAGAAAACAGTTTGCTACAAATATTGGGAAAAATAAGACTGAGAAGAAACAAGTATGGAAAATTGATTAAGAAAATTAGATATAAAAAAAATGGGCAAGATGGAAAAAAAAAACGGATAAAAAGAGAAAAAGAGATAGGAAGAGAGAGAGAGAGAGAGAGAGAGAGAGGAGAGGAGAGAGAGACGAGAGAGGGGGGGGGGTCACAAAGCTCCTGTCCTGCAACACGTATTAAGTGTATGTGCCAGGACATACACAACCTTCTGCTGATAAAACTCCAAACTATGCACATGATGTTTTCAAATGCAACAGTCCACTATATATATATACAATTAAATTCTATTCTCTTATATAAATTTGGTAATGTTAATTATAATAATAATGATAACGATAATAATAATTATAATAATAAGAGCAACAAACAACTGCTGCCCTTTAAACAGTACTATCTTTTCTAATAAAATCTTTATATAATAAGTATATATACTGTTCACGCAGATTCTCCCTCAAATATGCACTCTCGGTCAACACCAAAACATTTACCTATTTCCAATTTTTTGCTATACAAAGACAAACACTTTGTGAAAATGAAGAAGAAAACAGAAAACAGTTTTGCTACAAATATTGGGAAAAACAAGACTGAGAAGAAACAAGTATGGAAAATTGATTAAGAAAATTAGATATAAAAAAAAAGGGCAAGATGGAAAAAAAACGGATAAAAAGAGAAAAAGAGATAGGAAGAGAGAGAGAGAGAGAGAGAGAGAGAGAGAGAGAGAGAGAGAGAGAGAGAGAGAGAGAGAGAATACTGAAAAGAAATAAATAAACAAAGAGAGAAAGAAAGAAAGAAGAAATGCAGGATATGGAATATTGAAGAAAGGCACAACATTCTAAAAACAAAAGAACAAAAAACTAATTTCCCCTTCTCTTACTTGCAACAGTTGTGATAGTATGTGCAATTACAATAATACAATAACAAACACACTGAATACTTTTTTTAAAAGGAAGAAAAAAGAAAGAAAGAAAGAATGAAAACAAAAACAATATAACAAAAGAGGAAATATAGAGAAATTGAGAAAGATAACATAGTAAATCAATATAAAAAATGTACAGGGAAGAAATCAATAACTGACATTGTAGACAAAATGTAATACCGTATTTACAGTCCAATAAACAATATATATCTTAGAAAGAGAGAAGGCAAAGAGTGTTTTTAAAGGTTCACATACAAACAATGAAAATACATTTTACACATACGTGCACACAAATACACTCATACAAATGCATAAAAACATATAACAATCTTCAGCAGGCACACGTATACAACCAATTCCTCTGGTTCTCCACTTTTGTTCTTCAGAGCAAAACATTCCTGACCCACACACTCAAAACATAGACACAAACGCACCCTCAACAGTACACCCAAAGGTACACACACACACACACACACATTCAATCTACACTTGCAGATGACCAAAAGATCATACAACAAAAATATGTTGAGTATGGGCTAGTATGACCATCTTCCTTACTGACATTTGAACCAACTGCCATTTATATCACAATATGTAAAATTTACCTCTTTTTTTTTTTAATATTAATCTTTCAAATAACAATGAGGCTACCATTTCTCTACTATTCTCTCATTTTTTTTTAAATATAGAAAATGTGGATGTATTAATATTTTACTTTTTAAATATGATGCTATAATGAGGATCACTATCCTTGCTTGACACAAGGGGTGAAGGTCTAAGCTACCATTCAACAAGAGATAATAATAAGTATGAGGAGTATATATATATATTCATATATATCTAAAGAACAGAATGAGAAAGTTTTGGTGAGAATTCTGGGTATATTGTCAGTAGTATTCTCCTCTCCAGCGCTTATACACAAGGCTATTTGCACCCTCTCACGCCTACTGATAGCAAAATTCCTTCCTCGTTTTCCTTTCGGGATTTTTTCCTTCTCACTCCTTAAAATCAATATTCAATCTGCTCAAAAGACAGTAATCACAAGAATCCTCTACAGTAAAAATTAGGATTGGAATCATCTCTATGTTCAAGAACAAATACACTACTTGATACATTCAAAATTTTTTGCATATATCAACATTCAATTCTTCAAGCTCTCTGTGGTTCCTCCGATGCTTGCATATTCAGTTGCTTGGTCCTGGGATTACCCTCCCTTGCCCCCTCCCCCTAACCAAGACAGTCCATTTGCTTTACCAAACTTATCTATCAATCTAATCCACGCCTGCACAGAGAGAGAGAGAGAGAGAGAGAGAGAGAGAGAGAGAGAGAGAGAGAGAGAGAGAGAGAGAGAGAGAGAGAGAGAGAGAGAGAGAGAGAGAGAGAGAGAGAGAGAGAGAGAGAGAGAGAGAGAGAGAGAGAGAGAGAGAGAGAGAGAGAGAGAGAGAGAGAGAGAGAGAGAGAGAGAGAGAGAGAGAGAGAGAGAGAGAGAGAGAGAGAGAGAGAGAGAGAGAGAGAGAGAGAGAGAGAGAGAGAGAGAGAGAGAGAGAGAGAGAGAGAGAGAGAGAGAGAGAGAGAGAGAGAGAGAGAGAGAGAGAGAGAGAGAGAGAGAGAGAGAGAGAGAGAGAGAGAGAGAGAGAGAGAGAGAGAGAGAGAGAGAGAGAGAGAGAGAGAGAGAGAGAGAGAGAGAGAGAGAGAGAGAGAGAGAGAGAGAGAGAGAGAGAGAGAGAGAGAGAGAGAGAGAGAGAGAGAGAGAGAGAGAGAGAGAGAGAGAGAGAGAGAGAGAGAGAGAGAGAGAGAGAGAGAGAGAGAGAGAGAGAGAGAGAGAGAGAGAGAGAGAGAGAGAGAGAGAGAGAGAGAGAGAGAGAGAGAGAGAGAGAGAGAGAGAGAGAGAGAGAGAGAGAGAGAGAGAGAGAGAGAGAGAGAGAGAGAGAGAGAGAGAGAGAGAGAGAGAGAGAGAGAGAGAGAGAGAGAGAGAGAGAGAGAGAGAGAGAGAGAGAGAGAGAGAGAGAGAGAGAGAGAGAGAGAGAGAGAGAGAGAGAGAGAGAGAGAGAGAGAGAGAGAGAGAGAGAGAGAGAGAGAGAGAGAGAGAGAGAGAGAGAGAGAGAGAGAGAGAGAGAGAGAGAGAGAGAGAGAGAGAGAGAGAGAGAGAGAGAGAGAGAGAGAGAGAGAGAGAGAGAGAGAGAGAGAGAGAGAGAGAGAGAGAGAGAGAGAGAGAGAGAGAGAGAGAGAGAGAGAGAGAGAGAGAGAGAGAGAGAGAGAGAGAGAGAGAGAGAGAGAGAGAGAGAGAGAGAGAGAGAGAGAGAGAGAGAGAGAGAGAGAGAGAGAGAGAGAGAGAGAGAGAGAGAGAGAGAGAGAGAGAGAGAGAGAGAGAGAGAGAGAGAGAGAGAGAGAGAGAGAGAGAGAGAGAGAGAGAGAGAGAGAGAGAGAGAGAGAGAGAGAGAGAGAGAGAGAGAGAGAGAGAGAGAGAGAGAGAGAGAGAGAGAGAGAGAGAGAGAGAGAGAGAGAGAGAGAGAGAGAGAGAGAGAGAGAGAGAGAGAGAGAGAGAGAGAGAGAGAGAGAGAGAGAGAGAGAGAGAGAGAGAGAGAGAGAGAGAGAGAGAGAGAGAGAGAGAGAGAGAGAGAGAGAGAGAGAGAGAGAGAGAGAGAGAGAGAGAGAGAGAGAGAGAGAGAGAGAGAGAGAGAGAGAGAGAGAGAGAGAGAGAGAGAGAGAGAGAGAGAGAGAGAGAGAGAGAGAGAGAGAGAGAGAGAGAGAGAGAGAGAGAGAGAGAGAGAGAGAGAGAGAGAGAGAGAGAGAGAGAGAGAGAGAGAGAGAGAGAGAGAGAGAGAGAGAGAGAGAGAGAGAGAGAGAGAGAGAGAGAGAGAGAGAGAGAGAGAGAGAGAGAGAGAGAGAGAGAGAGAGAGAGAGAGAGAGAGAGAGAGAGAGAGAGAGAGAGAGAGAGAGAGAGAGAGAGAGAGAGAGAGAGAGAGAGAGAGAGAGAGAGAGAGAGAGAGAGAGAGAGAGAGAGAGAGAGAGAGAGAGAGAGAGAGAGAGAGAGAGAGAGAGAGAGAGAGAGAGAGAGAGAGAGAGAGAGAGAGAGAGAGAGAGAGAGAGAGAGAGAGAGAGAGAGAGAGAGAGAGAGAGAGAGAGAGAGAGAGAGAGAGAGAGAGAGAGAGAGAGAGAGAGAGAGAGAGAGAGAGAGAGAGAGAGAGAGAGAGAGAGAGAGAGAGAGAGAGAGAGAGAGAGAGAGAGAGAGAGAGAGAGAGAGAGAGAGAGAGAGAGAGAGAGAGAGAGAGAGAGAGAGAGAGAGAGAGAGAGAGAGAGAGAGAGAGAGAGAGAGAGAGAGAGAGAGAGAGAGAGAGAGAGAGAGAGAGAGAGAGAGAGAGAGAGAGAGAGAGAGAGAGAGAGAGAGAGAGAGAGAGAGAGAGAGAGAGAGAGAGAGAGAGAGAGAGAGAGAGAGAGAGAGAGAGAGAGAGAGAGAGAGAGAGAGAGAGAGAGAGAGAGAGAGAGAGAGAGAGAGAGAGAGAGAGAGAGAGAGAGAGAGAGAGAGAGAGAGAGAGAGAGAGAGAGAGAGAGAGAGAGAGAGAGAGAGAGAGAGAGAGAGAGAGAGAGAGAGAGAGAGAGAGAGAGAGAGAGAGAGAGAGAGAGAGAGAGAGAGAGAGAGAGAGAGAGAGAGAGAGAGAGAGAGAGAGAGAGAGAGAGAGAGAGAGAGAGAGAGAGAGAGAGAGAGAGAGAGAGAGAGAGAGAGAGAGAGAGAGAGAGAGAGAGAGAGATTTTTTGTATACCTGACGTGCCAAGAGAAAGGCTACAAATTGCTCTCAAAAATCTCACCATGAACAGGAAAATGTGTGAATGTACATCACACCGTTCCTCATGCTTACCAGGTATGTGAGCGAGGGTAGTTTTTCGTCTCACCCCACATTTCTATTGTGAATAGCTGCGGGCCATTGCTTCCATACAACTCTTTGAAGCCGTTCATAGGAACTCGAGAAGTTCCCGTGACAAACTGCAACAGACGGGCTCTCATCTCATTCGTGAAAGACAGCACCACCTAGAGGAAATGGAGAATGGAAAAATTCATTAATATAAATACAACTATATAACCATGCATAATGTTACAACTGAACCTTCTTAAAAAAAAATGGTCTTATCATGATTTTCCTAATAGGTAGCAATAAATTAAAATGAAGCATGTATTAATATCCATCTATGCACATAAAAAAATTACTATAATATAAAGAACAAGTCTAATCTTTCTAATGGGTCTGAGAAACATTTTCCCACCCAATTCTTCACTGTATCTTATTCTCTTGCTTGTATAGTAGCCCAATGACACAGGATGGTATCTAAACATGCCATGGCTCAAAAGCTGGACGGCATCTATATATGCCATGACAATGCTTTTATTGAAAATAATAACTGCCTCTTCCAGAATCAAGGAAAAGGGGGAAAAAAACATTGTCCCTGCACTTTTAATTTTCATCTTGTGTGAGCAACCTTGATATCACCCCTATTGCAGTAACAAGCTCCACAACATCACCTATACACCTTACACAGATTTGCAGAGATAATTTCATCCATTTCCCACAGCAGTGAAGTCTGACA